TTATGGCCCTGTTCAAAGTTTTCATTCATTACTGTTTATCGTACATCTGTCCGCCTATTACCAACTTGTTATTAGGTAATTTAGGTTCGCTATTGACAGCCACACAACTAGGCAGAGCAGCACTGGTGTCTTCTCTCCCTCCGGATGCCGCGTTGTTTGTGTTCGCTGATCTTCAACAAGCAACCAAAGCAATTGCTCTTGACACGGAGCTTCATATGCTGTATTTGGTGAGTACAGATTTCAAGTAGAAAACTGGGCGTAGTTCGGCACGGGGGAGGGGGGTGCAATCTGCACGTTTGCTGCTTCCCATCGACCAGTCGGGCCATTCTAGAGTGCTGTTCCATGAGCTTACAAGAGTTCACAGGTGCTACCATGGTGGGGTTGACGAGTTTGCTCCAGCTTCATGAGAGTTCACAGGTTTCATCAGAGTGAGACTTGTAAACTGGAACTAGTGAAGCAGCGGATGGGCAAAATGTTAACCCCCGTCGCCGAACTGCGCCGAAGAACCCTTCAAAAATGTTGTAAGATGGCTTTTAGGTCACTCCAACTAATTGTTCCCTATGGCAGGGATGTGATTGGAACCATCTGCACGGAATTTTCTCAAAACTCTCTGTTGAAGAGAAACGAGTGGCTAAATTGGTTAGTTACTGCAAGACCACTGAGTGCCTCGCAATATTCTCCCGATAGTGGTGTTTGCATATGTCCCAGCTGACGCTTGGAATAGAGAGCTCAGAAAACGTGCGGTCATCATGAAGGCGGTTAGCGGTAAGTGAGAAAAAAATAGAGAATGATTTCTTTTAGTTCGTTTGGCGCAGTCTGCCAAGAAGAACAGCTAGAGAATCCTCCGCGCAAAGATTCTATAAAAAAGATAAAGTCTCCGCTGTCTATTCCTTTTCAGTTTGGGATGCGGCACGCATTCTAGTTCCATCCGGAATCGTAGCTTATTCAATGACTTGCGGGGGCCAGTCGATGTACAAGTCAGTGTTCTTATCCTCCCAGACGAATACCTACCAATTTACCGTTCCCGGAGGGTAGAAGGCTTGGCTAGCCTGCGTAGGACCCAATCCAGAATTTGACCCCTACACCGTGCGCGCGGTAAGCGTTGGCCTCAAAGAGGTGAGTAAAGATTGTCAAGATTGTCAAGAATAAAATTTCGCGCAAGGAGCGTAGGCTTTAAAGGACTCCTTGGGCAAAACTGGGAATGTCACAAAGAGATTTTAGCTTGAGTTGCGCATGGAAGGAGTTTCATGTTAGCTAACTCAGAGTTCTTGTGCAAAAAGAGGTATCGCATTGCTGTAGTTCCATTTTCCTCGAAGGATCCCTAACTACCTCTTCTGGCTCACAGACTTGCCCCCATTTTCATAATACAAGTGAACGAATGGCGTTTTGAAAGTTGGAAAATGAAAACAAAACTCGAAGCTAGTAACACCAACGTTTTTGAAAAAAATCACAACAACTTGATTAGCTCTTGTGATTGCATCGCGATCGCTCGCGTCGTTCATGTGCAAATCTCACAACCCTTAGGCATTGTTCACAGTCGCCAGGCCCTGACGAAACGGCGGTTGGGAGAAAAGCAATAAATAGTCATCGATCGGAGAATCGCCCAACCGTCCAACCGCCCAACCGCCGCGGTTGGGCGGTTGGGCGAAAAGCAGTAGATGTGTATCGATTTCGCTGGCGAAAAACGCCACCGCGATGGAGCTAGCGTTTTGTCGAAGGCGAAAAACGTCGCGGTTTGGCGAAACGCCCGTCGATACGTACCAAAACCCTTTCGCCCAACCGCCAGTCGATATGTATCGAAAGCTTTTCGCCGAACCGCCGCGTTTCAGAGAAACGCTGGACCGCGAGTGTGAACAATGCCTTGCGTGGATTGAAAGAGACAATTTGCGGCTGTTCTCTTGTTAGAAGTGCTCCCCTATGTAAGCAGATGGTTGCCCACATGGTGGTCACTATAACTGCAAAGAGTCTCTCTATTCTCTTTGAATTTTGGGAATTTTTCCGAAGAAATGTGTAGATGTGTAGGTATAGTCACAAGTTGTGGCTATTCTACAAAAATTGGATTGTACTGAAATTTTGGAACTAATTTTAGGTGGGCGCGAGTGATCGCTTCATTGTCTCACGCCTTCGAAGCTCAAGCATTTCGACGTCTGATCGAAGCTACCAGGTCCTTGACTACGATTTCGGGTTTAGCTGCGTGGCCAGTCTTTAGTGCTTTTTTTCAGCTCCATTTGCGCTTCTTCTCTGCGCTTGCTCTCTTCGATGTGGTCAATGAGAAATCAATTGACGAGGTTGCTCGTCGATTCAGAATCAGCCGTGGCACTCTCCAAACTCTTCAACAACAAAGTGCCACTTATGCGGGTTTCGTTTAGCATATCACAGTAAGCGTAAGGAGACGACATGCATGTTCGCTCACATCGTTTGCAGCTCGCTCGCAACTGTGGTGAGTAATTGGCCTCTGTCCCCAGTGTCCAAGAATTGCCTCCGTTAGACTGTTGATTGGCTCCGTTAGGCACTAGCAGGGCGATGTGCGCACGATTGTCCCATAAATACGTAATGGCTGAAACTAGCACAGATGTATTATTCGGAGTTCAAGGAATAAGGTTTAAAAACGTAATCTGTAGCTCAAAGGCAGTTGGCACGATAAATCTCTAAGACGTGTAGGACTAATACGCCTGTCAGGACTGAATTCGGCGCCCCTGAGCAAGCGCTGCGTGGACGGAAGGTACCCTTTTAGCGCCCTGTCTAGTTGCAGCAACCCGACCCAGACACCTACCGAGCCCATCAGTCCACAAATGTCCGACCGATCCTGATGCTCCTATCGCTTCATTTGCGAAGTACAATATGAGGCGAAGGATTGATATGAAGCGGCTGCAGTGA